TTATATAAAATATATTAGAGAAAAAAATTAATTGAGAATATTTACTAAAAATTATTAATTGTGAATTAGTTAATAATTATTTTTTTCACTAGTCAACAAAATTTACTCATAATTTTAGAAAAATAAATTAATAATATTAAATATAAAAATGAAAGTGTCACATATTATTAACTTATTTCTTTATTTCCTCTAAGTGAAAACTTTTTAAGTGTTAATATAAAATTATAAATAAGAGTCGTCTTTAAATTTTTTTTTTCTTTATCTCTAATATTTGTAGTTCTCTTTCTATTTTAAAATTGTGGCCTATTTATTTTGTTAAGATTTTGAAATCAAATAATCAACATCCATCTCTCCCACCTGAGTTTTTGTATGATGTGTTATTTGTATAGTATCTAAAGATAACTCACAGTCTCATTTAAGTGTATTGTACGTTCAATCATATTTTTAGTATTTTTGTGATTAAGTATTTATATGTTTTATAGTTTTAAATATGAGAACCAAATTCATAAGTAATATTCAAATAATTATAATTCATCATTTTTTAACTTTATTCACATAAATAAAAATAATAAAAAAACTCAAGACCGAGCTTGTTTAAACCTTTATTTTATGTATAAATTCTTTCATAATCAAATTGACCCTTCAAAAGGGACATTACACTTAATCTATGATGAAATTAACGAATGAATATGACCATATTAAACTTTGACAACATTGGCCAACGAATCACCACGAGCTCATTGACCCGAAAAGAATTTTGAGCATTGCAATAAGTGGGGTAAACAAAAAGAAAACATTAATTTGCTTACATACAACACAACATCAAAATTCGGATGACTGAATATTTAGTCACTTTATCTTTTTAATCACTGGTTTTTGTCTTCTTACGAATATTTGGATTACTGTAAATCTCTCAACTATGTCTGTACTCATGGTACATGGTGTTAATGTGCTGAGTAACATTGACACTGGTAGTGGCAGTAATCCTCTCACAGTGCAAGTAGCAAAACTCAACATATGTTTATTTATCATAACTCATTATTATATTATCAAGAATCAACTCATATATATATTGAATCTAGTGCCCGTAAGATTCAGATGCATAAAAATACAAAAGAGAAAAAGGATAATGAATCGTTGCATAGCAATAGTGGCACAGTATCAAATGGTAGACAATGTTTTTAAGTACGTGTTTGTTTTAGCGTTGATGATCCACTTCATAATATATTTTCACGTCAATTTTTTTCTGAAATGTGGAAGTTTAAATTATTTACTTCTAATTTCACGTGAAAAATCACGTCACTATCTCTGAACCAAACATGCTATTAAACTAAAACTCGCATCGAATAATGAGTTGCATCCGATATTTAATCTCACATTCTCGTGTCAATAAATACCAACGTGCCCATGAAAATTGGATTGTCATTGTAAAAAGGATAGGTGTATACATTTTCTTGGATTTCTTATTTTGTTTCATATTTATTTTTTTATAAAAATGATTTACAGAGGCACAAGATAGGCCAGTGTCAATCTTTGGGCTTTTATATATTCATGCAGTGTTCAGGAATAAGTCACTGGGGGTACACATATCAAAGTTAATGTTACGTTCCGTTGTATCATAACATAAATTGTGACCTATTTTTCTTATAATGTTCATTCTTAAAAAGTTTTCAACTTCATCTATGAGCTAGAAAACAACTCATGCGGGGAAGTTATGCATTATAGTCGATTTGTTTGAAAATAAAATGTGTGAATTCAATTAGGAATAGTGAATTTAATAGTCTAAATTATAGCCTAGTTTAAATGTGTTAATATAACATTTAATCGATAAAAGTTAAGTCACGATTTTAATTGTCCGCTTTAAAAAATTGCGTGACGATGTCTGTAAAAAAAATCAAATACCAATGCTGACTAAATTTCTAGTTTAATAGTATAAACTAATCAAACAAAATAATTAAAAAATATCAATGCTGACTCATGAAACATTGCCTTTAGTCCTAGGTCTTAACCGATGATTTTTACACACAGTTCTTAAATATTTTATATTAATTATAATTATAGGGTGGTTCTAAATTTCAAGTTGCTAGTGCAGGTTCACTGTGTAAACTTTGGTCACCTGACTCCTGGAGCAGTTTTCATTCATTCAATGTGAGGTTATCTAAATGGTATGCAAGGTTATCGAGGCCATTTTGAGTTCTTCGGTATGCATTAATTAGTTACTCCATTTCTGTGGATATTCAAAGACTTCATAGTTTCTTAAACATATTCATATTTTGATTTCTTATCAAGGTCGTAAAGTTTTGCTATAGATTAATCTATCTCAATAAAATTTGAAACAATGATTATTTTTGTTGATCATCAAATTTGAATATTGCTCAAACAATTAGATATGGCTAAAATAGTATTTTAGTTCCTTATAATAATTGTTTATGTTTCAATTTTGTCCCACTTTTATTTTGTCTCAATTTGGTTCCTAATAAATTAATTGGTTGCAATGTCGGACTTCTGTCCAAATTATTTAGACGGAGTTAGCTGTTGGCCATGTGGAAGCTACGTAGATGTCACGTGGAAGCTACGTACATGCCACGTGGACATTAAATTTTGTCATGCATTTAGAACCAGAACGGTCCGTTCTAAAATCGGAACGGCCCGTTTCGGTTGCACTCATGGTGTGTAAATTTTACATCTGGAACGACCCGTTCTAGATGCATTATTTAATACTAACGCGTGAAGCAAAACGGGCCGTTTTAAGACCAGAATGGGCCATTCTGGCATCCAAAACGGGCCGTTCTGGATTTAGAACGGGCCGTTCCAGAATGCTAACCAACATAATACACCAGTGTGGTTCAAAAATCGAAAGCAAATCATTTACACATACACAATTTTTTTAATCTAAAAAAATATATTTTAAAAAATAAAAATTATATTCTAATATATATATATATATATTTAAATTATCGTATGTATAAAATATAAATTTCGAGGAGTTATTCATTTATCTGATATTTGTCAAACTTTTGTACTTTCTATTTATTGTTTATGTTGATAAAAAAAATTAAAATTGTAAAAAGGCTTAAATATGTTTTTAGTCCCTCAAATTTAAGATAAATTTGTTTTTGGTCCCTCAAATTTAAAACTGTTGTTTTTAGTCCCTGTAATTTTCAAAAATCTTGTTTTAGTCCCTTAGGTCACCAATAACATATTTGAAAGTGACTAATTAAGACAGTTATGCAATATCAACCAGATTTAATGTGATATTTTCACTAATAGGGACACCAATAGGTAGATTTTATGCAATAATGTTTGATAAATTTCTTAACAAAATTTGAATATAAGGACTAAATTAAGATTTTTTGAAATTACAGGGACTAAAAACAACAATTTTAAATTTGAGGGATCAAAAATAGATTTACCCTAAATTTGAGGGACTAAAAACATATTTAAGCCTTGTAAAAATTTATATCACATATTAAAAACATCTTTATATGATAAATAAATTAAATTTAATTTTTATAAGATTTAACATATTTATTTATATGTTTTTATTAGTGTTAAATTATTATTAAGTAAGTTTTTAAGATTGTTATGTAACCAAACATTTTAAAAAATATCTATGACAGATAAATATATAATATTTATAACATGTATTTTTAACAAAAATTAGGTTTAAATATGTTAAATTATAATATAACATAATCTGACCTAGTTTATTTTCATCCTTAATCATAATTATAGATATAAAAACTTGTAAAAAAAGAACTATAATATATATTTATACTTAAAAAATTATATATAAAATTTTTAATATTACAAATATATGAATAAGTATTGTCATTACGATCTAAAATTTATGGATATAATCATTAACTATATGTCTGACATTCTAGAACCAGAACGACCCGTTTTGAAACTGGAATGGTCCGTTCTGGTTTCACTCTTGGTGTGTTAATTTTGCATCCGAAATGGCTCGTTCCGGATGCAAAATTAACGCACGAAGAGTGAAATCAAAATGGGCCGTTCCAGATTCAGAACGGGCCGTTCCAGTTCCAGATGCATGACAAAAATTTGACATCCATGTGACATTTACGTAGCTTCCCCGTAGTATCCACGTGACCAACAGTTAACTCGGTCTAAATAATTTGGACGGAAGTCCGACATTACAACCAATTAATTTATTAGGGACCAAATTGAGACCAAAAATAAAAGTGGGACTAAATTAAAACAAACAATTATTATAAGGGACTAAAATAGATTTTTAGCCTAAATTTATTAAAGATCTAGTTCAATTGGTTTAAACAAGATATGCAATTGTTATAAATTCTTTTAATACCAATAGAATTGTCACTAATAAAAAAAACATATAAATAAATTTATCAAGAAATCCAACACAATTAATTGAGGAGAATTCAAGAGTGTTATAAAATATAAATCAAATAAATTTACACAATTATTGTATTTTCACTCTAATAGTGAAAGAAGGTCACTTGGTAACAAACTTGAGAGTGAATTTAAGAAACCACACGAACTTGACATTCTACGTGTAATTTCTGCAGAATTGTTATCCAATTCCAGACCAACATGCCGTGTCTTGATGAGTCTGGATTCAATAAAATTTTCATTTTCCTACAAAGAAAAGAATCCGAGAGTTAGTTAATTCCGGTTAGGGTCTAGGCCTTATATGTATGTATGATTAGAATCATGAATTTCATGTTATTTGGATAATGGGTTTAGGAAGAACAAAAGAAAAGATTAATTGATGAAAAAAAATGATGAGTCTTACCCATAATTTTTTATCTGTAATGGAAAGAAAAGGATGGTTGAGAAGCATGATGGCAGTAGACCTCTGAGAAGGGTTCTTGAAAAAGCACTTATTCAAGAAATCTTGACAAAGAGGAGTGAAATAAGAAGGTATTGGTGGTGCTTCCTTAAGAACCGCAAGTTTAAACATTAAGTCACGTAAGGTGGGAACTTTGTGCCATGCAGGTAAACCAGTGAGCATTTCAATAACCATGCATCCAAGAGACCATATATCCAAGGCTGCTTCGATTTGCCCCCTCGATTGGTGACATGTAATATGGTGAACCTCTAAACTTAATCTTCCAAAAGTCACCATCAAACACCTCTTCTTTCCTCTTAGACATTCCAAAATCACCAATCTTTAGTTCATACTCCACACCATGTTCTTGGGAAGGAAATAAAAGAACGTTGTCCGGTTTAAGATCACAATGAATGACTCCAAATTCATGAATCACAGAAAGCCCTTTCAGAAGCATGCGTGTGTACACTTTTACTTCACTCTCCAATAGTGATTTTCTCCTTTTGATCAAGTTTCCAAGAGAGCCATAAGGAGCAAACTCCATCATCAGATTGTAGACATAACCACTATTCTCAATGGTGGGTACGCCCCCAATGCACTGAACAATTTCTTTGCGACCATGGAATAAATTCAATATGGCTTCTTCTTTCTCCAAAGATTCTTCCCTGTGAGGCTTTGAACTCTTAACAGCTATCAACACTTCTTGCACTTCTTTTGGAAAAATGGTCGTAGCAAGACAGACAGTTCCATAGGAACCTTCTCCCAGAACCCTTATCTTCTTCCATTCGGTAAACATCGTGATCATGTGATGTTGTTTCTTCACACCATTCTTGAAGAGAAGAAAACAGTAATGAGCTATGAGTATATATATTTAGAAAACTTCGTGAAATTTGTGGAGGGAAAAAAATTCATAATCATCCGTCCTTTTTCATGTAATCTCAACTAATTAGATTTGCTATCTAATTAATAAATTTTCATAGAATGTAGTTGATATCAGGTAATTTATGATTGATTTCCATCAAGTGGTATGATATAATCCTATTTCTGCAAATATATATATATATAGTTAGATTTTAAATTAACGGATAAACTAAAATTACAAAAATTCAAATGGTGAGATGAAATTCACAAAAATAATTGAGGGCGGGATTTGACAAATTTAAAAGGCAAATTCTAAAGCAAAATTAAGTCTAATATAAATATTATCATTCTATAAAATACTTCTTTCTTAATTGAAATCCATATAGGGATTTGTCAAATTTAAAAGTTAAATTTTAAAGTAAAATTAATTATAATATAAAAATTATCATTCTATAAAATACTTTTTTTTAACTAAAATTCATATACAAATATCTTGTTATCGTGTCAATTTTAATTATGTCAATAAATTTAATTTATAATTCATCGTGAAATTTTTGGAGGAAAAAATTCATAATCATTTCAATTTTTTTTTATTATTTAAATAATCAATTCTGATTTATTCTACAAGAAAAAAGATAATTCTGCAACTAATTATTTTATCTTATCTTTGTTTCTATTTATCATTACATCATTTATTATCTTTTCTTATATTGTTGGAATAGATCACATATATATTAAGCTAAATCTTCATGAATTTTACATGTAATCTCAGCTAATTAGATTTAGTTGTATAATTAAATTTTGATAGTCTGTAGTTGATTTCCAATAATTTATGAATGATAATTAGATAAATTTCTGTCTACAAAAATTTAGAAACTAATCTTACATTTTTTTTTCAAACGAAAGTAAACCATGAGCTCCAAGAAATTAAATCTCCAAGAATCCCTGCGACTATCTACCAGAAGAGGAAGAAGATGAAATTCACAAATATAATTGAGTGCAGGATTTGTCTAATTGAAAAAAAAAATTCTAAAGAAAAATTAAGTTTAACAAAAAATTATCATTAATAATATTCGTTATATTATTTTCGATGAAATAAATAAATTATTTATTTCATTATACGGGAAGTGGATGCAATCCTGTTTTTTTTATTCTATATATTTAACTGTAGAGTTATGTTTATATTTTATCTTAACATGATAAAAGTAAAAAACTAAAATATATATTAAATGATGAAAATAACATCATTAATTATATTAGTGTGAATTATAGCACCTTTGAAATATGTGAGATTAGATATAACTTCCGTTTTTTTTTCCTGCAATAATTTCCTTAATTATTTGAAAAATATTATATTAACATTCTTTAAACATTACATTAACTCACTTAATTATTTAAAAAATATTAAATTGTGATATCTAATAATAAAAAGTTGATAGAAACATTAAAAAAATAATAATAAAAAAAAATAAGAAAGTTGTGTCCAATATCACCGAATGTTAGAGGGTTTCATTGTAATTTACTCTAAATTATTAATACTAGATTAGTTAATTATTTTTTTTCCTCTTTTAATTTAATATTATTCAATGTGATCTTTCTATTTTTCAAAATTTCAATTTAATCTTTTAATTTAAAATAAAAAAAACCACTATTCTTTTTATCTCCTATGTTCAATAGCTTCGCTAGTGTCAACTTAAATGGAAAGAACACTAAATATTTTTAAAAATAATTAATTAAATTAAAAATTTTAAAAATAGAGAAATCAAATTAAATATTTTGAAAATAATGAACCAAATATAGTAATATTTTATATAATAAATTTATTAAATATTACTTAATAAATTTTTACCAAAAACTATACTAATTAGTGTATTAACTTAAAAGAAATATGACTTATTTTAGAACTATTATGAATGGGTCAAATCAATAAAAAAATCAAAAAAGCTCTATTTCTTAAAGAAAATTAATAAATAAAAAAAAGCAAAACAACCCCTAGATTACTAAAGGAGTAAAAAGAAGAAAAATATTTTTTCACAAACAATTGTTAAGAAAGAGAATATAATTTTTTATATATAAAAGCATAAATTGTGAGAACTTTATATTTTAAATAATTCTATACACCATTTAAAGAGCTGGTAAAGAATAATTTTCCTTCCTTTTTAGAAAGAAAACTTGAGCAGGCTTTTCAATTCTCACAAAATAGTTTCCGGTACGAATGATCTAACTTTTCCAAATATTTATAAAAATTTTGAGTTCGAATATTTTACATGTGGAATAGGTGTGAAAGTTGTCTTATTGAAGAGTAAACATCATATTGTTGTTTTAAAGACAACTCATTTTTATGTCCTCACAACTACTTTGTCTATAACGAAGAGTTCAATGCTCTTTTTGAGTCTTCTAATCTTAGAAACAATACTTTGTTTTTTAAGAAGTTTCTTAGTTCTGATGAACCTATATCATCTAAATCTTTAGGAAGGTAAAGAATTTTAATTGTAAATAGTTCAATTTTTAGGAGCGTAGGCAATCCCAAAAACATCAAGGTTAATCTTTTTTAACAATAAATAATAATTTTTATGCTTTAAAACAATCAGACACACTATGTGTACGCATGTGTGTTAAATATAATTTATTATTTTGATTATAATATAATAAATGTCTAGCATATGCAATACATTGGTTTAAAAAATAAGTTTATCTAGAAATTTCCAAAATTAGATAAACAAAATAAAGAAATTAGCCCAATAAAATTGTCAAAAGTTTCATATATATATTGGATAAAAGAGTCCATGGCTTATATGTGTGTTTGGATTGGTGATAATAAGTTGAACTCACCATGATTCTTGCTTTTGTCATGAACTTACCATGATTTCATCTATTTGTTAGATCCAAAAATCACGATGAGTTCAACTCGTTGCCAATCCAAACACACACTAAACATTGAAAGCATAAACCTAACATCATCGAATGACCATCACTTTTATCCTTGAAGCATTACTCTCTCTCCTATATGATTTCTAAAGTAAAAATACTAAACAAATAATCTCCTAGGTAGTAGAAATCATAATAAGGGTCTGTGTGGATAAATTTTTCCAAAAACATTTCTTAGAGAAAAAAATGGGAAGATAAAATGAAATAAATTTTTATTTTTAACTTATGTATTAGCTAATTTGTACTTTTTTGGGGAAGCTATATAAAAGAGCTTCAACAAATTAGCTCATACATAAACTAATTTTATCTTAACTCATTTTTCCTTCCTATTTATTCCTCCTATAACTGCTTCTAGAGGTTTATCCAAACAAACCCTAAACAATCCTTCAAGCATTATAAAATCCTTAATATTTATCCAATCACAAACAAATTATTTCGTATTTAATATATAAGAGTCAATGATAAATTTAAACTTTGTATTTATATTTAGTACTTTTCTAAAATCATGAGTAGATTTTTTTAAATTTGTGGAATTTTTTTATTGAAAAATGTAAATATAAATTATCAATTATTTAATTTATTTTTATAATATAATTTTATTATGTAAACTTTACTTTAATATTAAACATAGTATTTTTTTTTTTTGTTTTTAGAATTTATTAACTGTCGCCCTTCCGGTCCGTACTTAGGTCACTTATGGCTTCTCATTTGAAGAGTAAATACAACATCTTTTCTTCTTTGTCATATCACAACTACAACTTCAAAACCACGAAACACTACCATTCAGTTTTCACTTCATTACCCTTAAATTTTTTTCTTTTTCTTTTTTCCCACTAGTATTCTCTATTCTCCTTCGGAGACAATTTTCTTTGAGGTATGCTAAATTCATTTATCTAAATGCGTTTAATTAACTAAAAAATTGTGTTTGACATTGTTACTCAGGGAAAATACATTTCAATGATGCTCGAATTGAACCCCAAATACGTCAAGGTACCTTATTGAGAAGAAAACTCTCAAGCAAAAAATCTCGATTTGAGGTCGAGCAATAAAGCAAGTAGGACCAGACAACCCTGAGGGGGAAACCAAAGGAAGAAAAAAGAAAATTTCAAGACAATCGAAGGAATTCCAAGGGAAGCTCTGAAAATCGAAACATAAGCATCGTGAGCAAGTTTAAAATGGTTAACGAACGATTTCATGAAGTCGATGTTGAATAACTGTTTCGATACCCACTCAAAGAAGAACATCACAAGTTTAGAACGTGAAAGAGCGGTTATCAGAGAACAGTTGAAGGAAGTTATAAACGACGAAGTAGGAGTTGTTGAGACACACCGCATCGAGTATAGTAACCACCCATCATTAACTCCTATAAATAGGAGGTGTGACTTAAAATCATACTTGAGAACTCTCATAAGCACTCACTACTTGCGCATATGGCTCTCGTGTACGAGATTGCTAGGTATGACTTTTTGGCCACTCTTTAGTCTTTTCTTTTCATAGGATTATCTTAGTTTAGTATAGCGTAGTTATCATAGTTTATATGCTTTCCAGAATCATTATAAGTTGTAACTCAACAATTATGTGAAACAAACTATGAATTATGTTGTTAATTTCTATGTTGTTCACTCAATTCATTTAAACATTTGCATACATGAGACTTATTTTGTGGTAACTATCAATGAATATTTGGAAATCCATGCATGTTGAATTCATTGTGTAGCCTTCATTTTCGTTCTTAACAAGAATCTAATAGTACATATCTAAATTGAAAAGTATTTTTGCTAGTTTGAATAAAAAGAGTCCATAAACGAAATTCCCCACGAACAAATTGGCACGCCCAGTGGGACTCGTTTGCTAACAAACATAATTGAACTAGTTTTATGTATGTTTTATGAGACTTAAGAGTGGGAAAACTATGTCTACGTCTAGTAGGAGAGATATGAATAATGAAGAACAGGTAGATACAGAAAATAGGAATCCCAATAAAAAAATGTAACAATTTTAACAAGG